AACTAGAGATGGCTAATATTTTCTGGAACAGGTATTTGTCACCTGTTATTTAATCGTACCTGTTATAAAAATAACAGGTTACTTCCAAAGGCCTGTTCCAAAATACTAGGCAAACAATTATCTTGCCAAAAATTTATTGCTTGGCCACCGTAAGCGCATATATATTGTAAAAATGAAGAATGGCAACAGCGGTTATGTTTTAGTTTCAGTTTCGATTTTGTGATGTAAACATTATTATTTTGCAGAATAATACGATATGTGCGTGAGTGTAGTAAGTTACGAGTGTACTTATATTATCAATAAATATTGTTTTTGTTTTCTATGAAGATTTTATTAATGTTCATTCAGCAACATTCGAAGCCAACACACGCTATATCGAAACAGCCTGTTATTTTATCACAGGCTAGTATTTTGGAACAGATGGTATTTTGTCACAGGCTAATATTTTGGAACAGGTGAAACAGGCTAGTGTTTTGTCACAGCCTTGCCTACTATTCAGTAGCTGGCTAAGATTATTCGCAAGAATGCCTAGCACGGTGAGAGGAAATGGTCAAATCTGCCCTTTTGATATTCGGGCATATGGGGTAGGTTGTTTATATTTGTATTTTCTATATTAACATTCTTTTCTGTGATACAAAATGTAGAAGTATTTTAATATTTTGATATTAAAACATATATTTCCTACGTGTAAAACAGAAGAAACAAAAATCTTACAAAAATTTACGACGGAATATGGGTGTTATTCGCTCCCCCCCCCCCNCCCCCCCCAATAGTGGCATGCAAAGTGAGGACGAAACAATCCCTGACATCCAGCCAAAGAAAGCACACCGTTGGCGATTAAGGATGCTGAAACTAATCATATGGCTATAATTTTTATTATTAAATTATTTAACGGGAAACGTTTGACTCAAGCAGAATATTTTATGAAGAATGAAGTGTGATTTAATTATGAAACAACAAGTTTAGTAATAAAAATTTAGGTCATTAAATTTATATACTTTCTTACATTTAAGGAAAAATTTAGAATATTTAGTTGGAATTGTTTACAATGGAGTAACTTCGGCCAACATTTACAAAAAAACTGAATCAAAAGTACAGCATTAGACAATGGTTGGAAGTAGCACGCTACAAATAGCGAAACTACCGTAGTCGCTACTTTTTTCTGTAGATTGTAGTGTAGCGCACTACTTTTTAAAGGAAGTAGCGTAGTGAGTAGGTCGATAAGAGAAAGTAGTTTGTAGCGTTTCCTGGCAACTACTTTTAACAAAGTTCAAACGCAAAATATATTTCGAATATGATTGGTGCATATTCTTCGCAGGCCGCTCAACGTAAACAATGAGAATGCCTCTGTGGCTGAGCGTTAATAAGATCTACGTCTCATGCTCCGGAAAAGCTGTGCGAAATCGGTCGAGTTGTTTCTGAGAAATCGTATTTAAAATATCTGACTTTTTTGAAATCCGATTTCACAGGAAATATAAAATGCGTTCTGTGTCTGGTTTCGAAACTTAAAATGAGGTCTGCATTAATTAACAACCTCAAACCATTAAGATTGAGTCCCAAAACGCTAAGAAGATAAAAAGTTATTCAAGGTGTTCCGTTTCTTATTTTTCGCACTGTAATTTATTTCTTGCAGGATATAAAAAAGCATTGATCACTTGAATCAAAAATATTTGATAAATTCCTAGTATTTCTTTCATCGCTGTCAAGAAAAGCATACAGTTTGAAAGTTAAAAGAACAAATTCGTAAAAAGTGCTTTAGAATAAAAAACTATTTCATATAAACATGCATTAGCTTCTAAAAGTAGCGAAGTAGTGACTACATTTCGAAAGTAGTTTGTAGTCGTAGTCGCTACATTTAAAAAAAATATTTACAGTTGTAGTTATAACTACAATTGTAATAAATTAGTTGTAGTTAGCTACTAAGAAAATGTAGTTTTTCTGATCATTAGAATCTTTTAAATCCTTCAAGTCTCTCTAAGTGGTCATTTTTTGCCCCTTACAGTGTTTATTGCATTAATTACAATCGTCTTTAGAGGTTATTAACCTTATTAATTATGGTAACCTTATTTATTACAATCGTCTTCAGATAACAGATTATAGACTTAAAGCGAGATAAAATATAATGCAATTTGATCATATAATTTATGAGGTAGTAGACACTCAAAACATTGAAAAAAGTTTGAATAGCAGAATTAAACGAAAGAAGTTTAAAGGCAATTAGAAATATTTCTCAAGGAATTACGTCAGAGATGTTTAGGTCATGAAATTTCTCATACTTATCAAAAAATTTAAAGCTTTCAAAGGTTTAAGAAACCAGCAATAAATTACGAACGAAAACAAGTATTTTTGAACTCCCTCTGTCAGAAAATAAAGCAATAAGATTGTCATTGACTTATTTGTTTGTTATTTGCAATTATTTCATAAAATTCTGAAAACCCTTAGATATTTATAACGATATGAATATTTTGGGGTATCGTGCTATGCGGAAGAAAAGTCGCCAAGTCTTGGAAACTTCCGGGCAGTGGCCCGCAAGAAACTAAAAAAAATTGTGAATTTCCTATCTATTGAACACGATTTAACAAAAAGTTAAATATTCAACATTTTTGTGGATGTAATGGTTTTTACTAATAATTTTATCAATTATTCTATCAATATTAATATTATTCTATTAATATTAATATTATTCTGTTAATATTATTCTATTAATAATTTTTATGTGTACTATGAAATAAAATATACAATTGTCAAGTTCCATCTCTTAAAATTTTTCAACCATATTAAATTTAATGACAATTAAATGAATACCTAGGTGTCCCTATTAGACCACTAAGGTTTCACTGCTGATGTTCACCCTAGGAAACGCCTAAGTAATCATGCGTAAGTATTCATAACGCCATTCGCTTCAAAAGCATATAAATTGGAAATAAGAGTCGACATGTTTCAAGCGCTCAAAAATAGGCACCCATTTTCAAAACTTGACAGATGTGAATGAGACGAAATGAAAGTGATTTGAAATATAAAACGCAAAGTTGCCAACGAAAAATGGAGAAATAAAGATGAGAAACAAAACTAAAAATACAGCAGTATCCGAAACGGAACTTTTAAAAAAATGAACGGGACAGGAAAATCAGGAAATGCATTTTACTATCTCGGCCACTGTGGTTTGTTTGCTCGATTTGTATTTTTTTCTTTCTTTTTTTTTGTCTCTTTCGGTTTTTCTAGTTTTATTTCTCATCTTTATGTTTCCATTTTTCGTTGGCAACTTTTCTTTTTATATTTCAAATCAATTTTGTTTCGTGTCACTCACGTCTTACAAGTCCCGCATCCTTAATAATAATATTAATACTACATGACGGTGGTAATAAATGAATAGTTAAATGAGAAATTGATCTATTGATAAAATGAAATTCTATCGACTTTTAACTTTTTTGACTCATGTTCCATCATTGATTCCGATATATAATTTTTACCACTAATAAAAAGGAAATTTAGTTTATATGCTAATTTCAATCATATATTTGATTGTATTTGATTATCATGTTTAACCCTTTGCAATCCGATGTCCCCACGGAGGCACCATCAACAGCCACCACTTAAAAATTAAAATAATTTCGTACCTTAATAATTAGTAACCACATTATCTTAAGAATTTTAAAATTGTATAATAATACTATATTGTGTATTTTACACAATATAGTAAATGCTATAGTGCTGATATTAGATCAAACAGCTTTAAAAAGTACTCGGAGTTCAAAGGGTTAAGAAAATAATAACAAGCGTAAGTATAAAAGAATATGAATTTTTTTTACTCGAATTTTCCTGATTTGTGAGGGGGGATTGCATAGCCGAAATTAGTTTTGTTCGAAAAGCTAAATTTTTTTTTTTCAAAATGACAATTTTAGTTTAATTTTTTTTCTGGATATACAATAGTTTATAAAGAACGTATAGGTTTATATACATACATATACACTTGTTTGCTCCTTTGAAAACAACACTTAAGACAAAAAACGTATGACCTTAACATATCGCTTCATAAACTAAAATGTATTATCATTTTCTTCCTACCACTCCCAACGTAGCAGAGAAATGGAGGCACATGGTATTCATTAGACTGAGTTTTTAGGTAGATTGACTTGCCTAAAAACTATAACTTGAAGAAACCGATTGCAGATTTTAAATTAGTGACGTCAAAATATCAATCAATTGACATTGAAGTGAATTATATTTCACCAAATGCTAGTTCATACTTCGTTGTGTTCTATATACTGTGGTGTTTTTCATTATATTATCTAAAAAATAACCGTTATCCATTATCAAAACAACTGGATTTTAATTTATTTTTTGCTATTAACGTGTTACAATCCCAAATTAGTTCACATTTTCTATATTTGACTGATTTGAATTTTTTTTCTTTACATTTTGAGATAACATTGCGGTGCTAGTGATTTTTAGTTTCATGGAAGCCCTGAAAAGCCATTATGCAATTTTTTTTCAAAATCTTAATTTGAAATAACTTGCTACATGTTGTTTCTTTTTCGATTGAGAGTTTTTGCGAGATGCATTAAAATTTTTTCTTCTTTCGCAGAAGACCGGGTCCGTACGTGATGTTTTCGATCTATTTAACGAGTGGAGAAATATTTAGTCGTGACCCTTTAGCACTAGATTATGTGACCGCAGTAGGTACGTTCTCGAAACTGTATTTGTTATTTACGTGCACATCTTGTAAATTTTCATGAAGACTAATTGTCCTGGCTTTGATACCAAATGTTCTAAAAAAAATTGTGGATTTAAATTGGCGAATCGTGTTGCTCTGACGACGTTTGTCCTCTTGTTGTAGAAGTTTGTGATGGAAACAAAGAACTCTTCTTTTTTCCGACAACTCTTTTGCATTCTTTTATAGTTTTATCAGTAAAAGAAAAGCATAAAAAGATAAACACTCCCTGCAGAGTGTTCAGAATAGTGTATATGTACCAGAATGCGGTGACTCTTGAAGTTGTGGCAATAATTCCACAAATCCACGTTAAGCCCATGACTATGGCTAGTCGCATGGAAACTAGAAACCTCGACCAGAGGGCGGCTTTATTTTCCGCAGTATTCATACTAGCACTGGTTATCATGATAAAGCTGTGAATAAACAGCAGGATATTGAAGAACAACAAAATGAAAAACGGCGCCCCAAAATACACCAAAAGAGCTGGCTTGTAATGGAACCAGCAAGTGTTTATATTGAATATCAAATTATATCTGTAATCAGTATTCAAATGGTTCACTATCAATGAGACGACGATTATCAGTAAAGGTACTCCCCATGAGTACGCACAGTACAAAGCGTACCGCATAAGCATCGGTCTGTCTCTTACAAGTCTTAACTTGGCGGTTGCCATTCTCAATGATCGCCAAACATCAAAAGACATAGCGTTCATCCAGAAAAACGATGCCAAGAAAGCGTAAAGCATTAGCATTCCAACGGCAGTACAGTCATTCCTGTTCGGTAATCCAAAAGTAGTAAAGGAACAGATGTAGGCCAACAACAGAGCTTTGCAGAGGGAGAATAGGCAATATCCAGGAAGATTTCTGAGTTTTTTTAAGGACAAGAACATAATAATATGTAGGGTGATGCAAATGGAAGATATGGAGACTCCCACAATCGAAAAAATGTCCAGAATCTTAGAGAACTTAGAATCATCACTGAAGTCATCGAAAAACTCCGGACAGATTAGTAGCTCCCCATTATCTCTTATCAGATAATTATTCTCATCGAAGACTCTGTCATATAACGGCACTTTAATCGATCCATTGGAGAGTTTAATGTAACACTCTGGTTCGATCTCAACATGCTGGCATTCCAGGAAGGCGTCACTAAACTTCGACAGATCTAGAGAATCTGGGCTATTTTGTGAATTGGGCAAGGAAGCATTGTAGGGTTCCGACCGTTTCTCTCTGGTAACAGCTTCATTTGTCTTTTCTTCTTGGTGTGGCATGCAGAAACTCGGAATTTCAGTTGTTGTTTCAGAATCCAATGCATGGCTCATAAACTGAAATAAATTTGTTGAAGATCTAACGATCCTTAAGGATTCCGAAGGAAGAATAAACAAAGTCAAACTGCAGAACGTAAAATACGAAAATATTTTAGATGTTTTTAGCTTTTTCATGATTTGCTCAGTCCTTAATGTGATTTGTTGCACATGTATCAGCAATGAACCTGAAAGTAAATTTAGTTTTTTTAAATGCATAGTTTAGCAATGTTATTATATAATAGAAATATACTGGTCATTTAAAACTATGGTACAGTACTTGAAATAAAAAAAATGGAACACTTTGAATAACTTTTTACCTAATGATCAGACTTTTATACATTCTAGCACTCAATCTTAGGTTCGAAGAAATTAACTTTAAATATGCTAATTAATTAGTGCAGACGATATTTTAAATTACGCAATCAGACACAAAAACATGCTTTCTTCGAATACAAACATGCCTTTTTTGGTCAGGTGAGCGGTTGAAAATTTGGATCACTTAATGCTAATTTTACTTTTTGCGAATACTGCTAAACATTTTTAAGCAGACAAACAATTAGAAAATCCGTTTAACCTATAATCAGTCCAAGCCAAAAATAATTTTTCATTACTTTTAATCTTGTTTTTAATAATGTTTGAAAAAAGTTTTGAATTGTAAGGTACAGTATTTTTTGCATCTTTGCAAAGAATGTAATTTTAAATGGCAAAAATACAAAATGTGAGCTCAATCGGTCGTATAGTTTCTGAGTAACCAAATTAAAAAAACTCGTGCATTTAATATTTAATTTCTTGAGAATTATTCGACCGATTTCAATTACCAATTCCCTTTTCGGAAAATAACATCATATTTTTCTATTCTATCGTTAAAATAAGAAACTGAAACAAAACATTATATGGAAATTTTATTCTTCTCTGACTGCTTGTCCCCAATCTTGGACCAATAATTATAAAAATATTACAAAGCACTTAAAATTTAAAAATATTAGCTTTCTATTTTTTTAGCAACCACCATTATTTAAACAACTGCGAGTAAAATTATATATTTTCAATTTAAATGCTTTCCCTAAAATCACAATTGCTGATGTAATATTTGACTGTAACTTTAATTTTTCCGAATTTAAAAGTGAATATGAATTTTTATTTCTTATGGTTGAACACGTAAGCTCTCCAACAAAACTTCGCTAAAAGTAAATTAAATCGAGATATTTTCTTCTGCAGAAAAATACAGAGTGAAATAAAACATATTGACAGTTTTTTTTTAAGTTCGATTTTTCAATTCGAGATTACTTGAAACAAGTAGGAAAGCAATAACAGTAAGTGATATAAAGAAGAAATGAACCAGATCGCCTTGAAATGAGGATGTTCAAGGTTTAAATGTGTTTTACAAATTTACAACTGTGCTAGTAAATGTTTGTATAATCTTTAGTAGTATTGTATTTTTTAAGATACCACTTTAACGTTTTGGTAATAGATTTTTTTTCTTTAGATATAGTTTCTTTTAGAAAAATAACATGCATCGTTGGTCCCAAGGGTATTAAAATATCTAAGTTTATTTCATTTTCGTCATCAGTGAATAAAATTTGTATCAGGAAGGGAATCGTCATACTAACAGCATTTATAAAACCAACGTTTCTTTTTCTTTCTGAAATGCAACAAAAAAACAGGCAGTCTGTTTTGGTTTAGCTTTTTTTAAAATTTATATTCATAATTTGGTCCAGATGATGATTAGAAACTACCTAAAACTATTAAAATGGGGTGAGACATTTAAAAGTTTCTTTTATTTTCATAATGTGGTTCATATAATGAGTAGAAACTAAGAACAATTATTAGAATAATCTGAGAAATTAAAAAGCTTCTGTGATTTATGTTTATAATTTGGTTCACATGATGATTAAAAACTAAGAACAATTACGAAAATAAGCTGAGAAATTAAAAAGCTTCTGTTATTTATGTTCCTAATTTGGTCCATATGATGATTAGAAACTAAGAACAACTGTAAAAATAATCTGAGAAATTAAAAAGCTTCTGTTATTCATACTCATAATTAATTTGGTTCACATGATGATTAGAAACTAAGAACTACTATGAAAATAAAGAACAACTATGAAAAAGAGAACAACTATGAAATTAAAAAGCTTCTGTTATTTATGTTCCTAATTTGATCCACATGATGATTAGAAACTAAGAGCAACTATGAAAATAAGCTGAGAAATTAAAAAGTTTCTGTTATTTATGCTCATAATTTGGTCCACGTGATGATTAGAAACTAAGAGCGGCTATGAAAATAAGCTGGAAAATTGAAACCTTCTTTTATTCAAACTCATAATTAATTTGGTCCACATGATGATTAGAAACTAAGAACAATTATGAAAATAGGCTGAGAAATTGAAAAGCTTCTATTATTTATATTCAAAATATGGCCAGCGTAACTCAGAACAAATATGAAGAAAGTATGAAAAATTAAAAACATGCTGAAGTCATTGACAAACAATTCAAATATAATAATATATTGTAGTAAAGGCACTCACTTTTCCATGACGTTAAATACTTGACAATATACTTCGAGACTCATAACCTATGTATATTTTATTTAGTTGATTTTCTAGATATTTCTCTCGAAGATTGTTCGAAACTAACATCCGCAGGATGCCAAAATCAGGATGTCTAAATGGCACGAAGTTATGATGAAAAATAATGATTTATTTATTTCCCATTAAGTGACACATGTATGAGTTGAAAATTATTATTTTCTATTTTGAGTAAAATAAAGTTGGTGTGAAAAAAAATTAAATAACAAAAATGCCAAGTTTCAAGTCCGTCCCACAGTTTGAGAGCTCCTTGAATACATTGAGAGTTAAACCTGAAACTTGAATCCAATGGCTGGAAAACGCTGACGCATTAAAATGCAATTTTAACCCACGAATGCCCAGTCAGAAGCAGGTTAATGAAAAAAGCGGATGGTTTTGTAGGTTTAAACCAGTGACTATTGGCGATAGTTTGGGATTCATACTTAATGGTGATCCGAAGACATTACTGCTGCATGCGCACACTAATGCGGTCTCCTCCCCATACTACACTCCGACTCTGAAATTGACGGTGACATTCCGAATGGATTCCTTACCACTAAGATACATGCGAAGGAAATGCAATCCGATCAGACATCCAGCTTATAGCATAAAGAAGCGAACCCAATAAAAAACTGAAACTAATTGAGCTATAATTTTGACAGAGAGATTAAAAGCGAACACTTTATACATAAAGCTGACTGAGCTACATTTTTTAAAAAATTATGTTTGATTATACTTCCATAGTTATGAATACAACAACCATACCTGCCAGAGACGCGGTGGTTCAAGGGAGAAAGCGTTCGCCTCCCAATGAGTTTTTCCAGGTTCAAATCCCTAGTGTTAGCTGGTCGATATAAATTCTGCTTCCGGCTCGCCTCGACCACATTGGTGGCATAAAATATTCTTGGTGACAGACGGATCATGAGTTAGAATTCACCATGTTGTCAGGCTAACCGGGAGAGGTTTACCGGTGGACATACCTCCCTTGAGACTGTCCGCAGTGTCTGGAGGGTTGCTTCCTGGTTGTAGTTTGTCGAAAGTAAGAACTCCCTTAGCCATTCGTCTATCTTCGTCTGTCTTTGGTAACGAGGTATAACTATTTCAAGTAGGGGTGTGGAGTCAGTGTTTAGAACAGGTTTTGGCTCGGGACGTCGAGAGAAAAGTAATCTTTTTTCTTCGGTTCATTGTGTTAGCCCTGGAGTGAAGAGAGAAATGAGCTATTCCTGTTTTCATAGAAGTAGAAGGCCTCCGACTTTGTGGTGGGGGGAGTTCTTTCCATAGACAAACTATACACTAATCTGATGTACAGTGCGCAAAGTAAAAAACGGATCACTTTGAATAACCTTTGATCTAACTATCGGATCTTCATGTTCTAGGACTGAATATTAATGGTTCGATTGAATGACTTCAAATATTAGTGGAGCTAATTAATTCGTGGAGACGATATTTTAAGATACGAAATCAGACACAGGAACATAATTTTTCTGAATAAACATACCTTGTTTTCGACGGATTTGGTTTTCTAACTCCCAAAATATAGGGGGTAACCACAATCTGGAAAATATGGTCCGAATAAATTGGTCATGAGAGCGATCCAAAATTTGAATTCCTGAATGCTAATTTTTTTTCGCGTATTTTCCCATATCTCGAGAACTTTTTAAGCGAATTAAAAAAATTTAGCTTACAATTATAAAATTCGTTTACACGAAGATGCAAAAAATAACTTTTAGTAAATATTTATTATTTTTTATTATATTTGATAATAATTTAAAATTTTTTAATTGCAATGCAAGCAGTTTTAACATCATTTTAAATAGTGCAATTTTAAAATGCAAAATTTGAGCGAAATCGGTCGAATAGTTCCTGAATCGATTTCTAAAAAAGTCGTATCTTTAACGATTTGATCTTTATTCAGGAACGATTGCATCTTTTTTATAAGAAATAAAGTCTCTCCTTACTTAACTTTATTTTGACTATTTTGCTAATTGCATTTGATCTTTTTATAGGATACGTTTAGTTCGCGCTGTTAATTTGAAAAGTAAGCACTCTGCGATTCAGAGTAGGTGCCATATTTTTTACTAACTCTAGATTTTACTTTAAGTTCAAATCTGTTACATAATTGTTGCATTTACACTTTGCGTTATGTGACAATATACTCTTTTGATTGAATCTTATCTTTTAGTTTTTTTAAAAAAAATTATTTTTCCTTTTTTATATAACAGTTTGTATTTATTTTATGTGAAATTTTCCAAGTAATTTTCGTAAATTAGGGTATTATTTTCTCAAATAAAACATATAATTATTTTAAAAAGATCTTATCTGACAAAATTTTAGCTCTGTTTTCGTTTTCTCGTTACTTTTGTTTTCGTGTTTACTTTTGTTTTCAAAAGAATTTAACTTTCTGTTCGCTTTTCTTTGTTGGTCAACGTGGTCATTGCGCTTCTTGTGGGGACAGATACCCCTCTATATCCGCCATTCTTTTTTCTTCATTAATTTTTTTAAGAGGGGGGGGGCTTACTTAATTAATCTCTTTCATGTGATATTAAAATTATCCTCTCTTTAAATTTAATTGGCTATCGTCTTTCTGGATCTACACCAGTTAACGATGTTTTCTTAGTTTTAAGACATTCTCTCTCGTGGATGCTTGCTTGGTTACACCAAAGGGTGTACCCTCCCTCTGAGATGCGGACTTATGTCCGTATCGAGGGATTTTTTTTTTTTACATCCTTTTTCTGATTCTATAATCTATATTATATAAAGCGCTAATACGTATGTATGTATGTATCAATAAAACCGATGATATTTCTTTTCTCGCGCTGGCAACAGTTTTCATTTTTAATTGATTGGATTCGGCGCGCAAGAGCACGTAGTGAACAGCCAGCTAACAATAACCAGAGTGAGCATTATCAGGTTGTTCAATTCAGATTCATGCACTAAAAACATGACAATATTTAATTTAAACTCAATTAGGAATTAATTAATTAATTGAAGTGAGAATGCTTTAAAAGGCAGCTGTTGAATTGATATTTTTCTACTGGGAGTTACCTAGACGTCTAAAAAACGTTTAAGTGTTTGTATTGAATGCATTGAATTTTTTTATATTTCGCGTTTATTTATGCATTGAATTTTCACGCTTTAAAATGCAGAATATTAGTGAAGCAATATTTGATAATTTATTTTGCTAATATGTTTCTTATTTAGCTAATGTTTTGATTTTTTCACCATGTACAATCTAAATAGCTAATATACTTTTTTAAAAGCCAATAAGAACATTGGTAGAATTCTTCTACATAAGTACAATACTATGTCTTTGATGATAAAATACTATGTCTTTGATGATAATATATTATGTCGTTGTGCTAGAACATTGTGTTCATTGTCGAGCGAGCGCAGCCAGCCATGGTTCACGGCGTGAACCACATAGGATTGCGTAGCAAGGGGGCGGAGCCTCCTAGTTTTAATTAAATCCGCAAACCGCAATTAATTTCTGTAAATTGAATACCTACATTTATACCTTTAACCTTAAAGACCCTTTCAAATTTAAGCTTCCGTTCTACATTCATCTTATTATCACTCATATATCGTATTTTTATGCATGAAGCCTTATTTTAAATTCTCTTGACACTCATTTCTAATTCCAGGCTTCTCTGTGTCACAAATTTTGTCAAAAGATATATATTACTAATAAAATTGTGAGTTTGTTCAAAAATGTTTTTAATAAATGTTTTTTTAATTTTGAAAGAGTGGTCGCTATTAAAAATGACGCTATTGGCCATTGACCGGTCGCAAACGTTTCCAATTTTACAAAATAGTGTTAGGTTAAACTTTTTATCCGTAATATAAAGCTTTTCAGCTTTAATATCCAAATCTTACATTCCTGCTTTTCAAGTGGATTTTTTTCAATTAATTTAGAAGAGAAAAGTTGATTACAATTTTATTTTTCTTATTCATAGTAAAAAAAATCACACCTAATACTAACAACACCTAAAACAAAAATCAATATTTTCCGACCTAGTTGTAACAAAATAAAAACCATTTTCAAAATTTTTATCTTTTTTAAAAACATAGTTTTTAAAAACTGTTTTCGAAAATTGTTCGTTTTAATATTATGTTTAATAAGGTTATCAAATTTTCACCGGCGATAAATTGTGATCTTAGATAAAAAGCAAAGAGCTCCAGCTGAAATGTTAGCACTGTGGCTAGTCATAAAAAGTTTACATTTTAACTCCAATAATAATTTCCTTTCACAAAGCGATACTAAAACAAATTTAGTTAAAGTTAATAAATGTTTATCAGTTTAAGTGTATTTCTGAAACCAGCTTGTTATTTAATAATTATGAATAAGTAGCATTCCATAGTATTGGTTTCGATTAATATTTATTTACATAATCCTTAATATAATATACAACCAATTTCCAAAATATTTACAATTCAAATATACAACTCATTGTAGGATTTCAATAAGATATAAATATGCATATTATGAAGTAAGAATTAGTTTCAATATTTAAAATGAACATCAAAAACCATTTCTCAAGCATTCACCAAACATGTATTTCTCAATTTTAGTCTTCAGAGTGCTCATGCTCATTCGGTCTTGAATATGCTTGAACACTTTTCTGGAGCACGTGAAAAGCAAAAATACAAAAAGACCTTGCAATGAATTGAGTATATCGAACAGAAACCATACAACGGTGTCCAGCTTTGCTACTCGCAGCCATTCAGCTTCACTATATGAAAAAATAATGCCAATAGCGCCAATGAGCCATGTAATACCCATCATTACAGCCAATCGTATATGCAATACAAGGTTCAGTTGTGCCGTTTGGCGTTGGTCGCTTTCCACAGTTTGTTTCATTGTATTATTTTTTAGTATAAAAGCACTCAAAACAAAGAAAACAGCATTGCTCAAAAATAGAACAAATGCGGGAAGTGAAAAAAAGATTCCTTTGGCAACATCGTTCGTCAACCAGCAAAAACCGTTCTTTCCATATAGAGGCTTGATCTTTTCTGATACATTTTTAGAGTTGTCCAAGCCAACACATACTGAGACGATGCACAATGGCACCAACCAGGCGTAAGAGGAATACCAAAGAAATTGGCGAAGTCGTGCACTTTTATTACTCACCATCAATCTCTCTGTTGCCATTCTTAGTGTCTTCCACACATCAAAAGCCATGACATTCATCCAAAAGAAGGCTACAAGAAAGAAATATTGCTTCAATATTCCAGCCAAGACGCAAGACTTTCCAAATACTTGTGGTATTTGTACTATTAAGGAAAAAGAATATGCCATTAAGAAAGCAACACCTAGAGATGCCAGATTATATCCAGGTAAGTTTCTTAAAGATGGCACCAGGCAAAAAGTTACAATATGTATCAGCAACGCAAGTATCGAAATAGCACTTCCGATATTGCCTATGTACAAAGCAGCTTTGTTGGTATCATCCATAGGTTTAGGTAAAAGTTTGTTGAACTCGTCTTCATCTATATCATCATAATCCATGGAACACAGAACTAGTTTTCCCGCTTTGTTGACCTCGTATACTTCATCTTCGAGTAAAACTCCATAAAGAATGACAGAACCATTCAGAAGATGTTTAAACTCATCAGCATTGTATTCGAATGTTCCACAATGTTTAAAAAGTTCCTTCTTCAATTGTTCAGTGGGATAAAAACATATCCTTCTATCATTTTGAATGATATGCATTTTGGAAGGATGGATAGTAGTATTGTAAGAAGGAATGAACATGTTGCCGTTTGCCAAGAATTCGACGTTTTTAATGTCCAGAATCACTCTAGCACAATGCTTTTGGAAATCTAGATTAGATGCAGTTGCAATATACTTGGCAGATGTATCAGATGTCGAAGTATTTGCGGAATTGGAAACTAAATTAGATGTAGAAATAATTGCCTCATTTGAATCTGAATCGGATACAGAAGAATTTGTGTGATCGGAATCTAAATTGGCTGAAAAAGGATGTGCATACTTGGAATCTAAACTAGATGTGGCAGTATTTTCGTTACTGAAAATTGGCTGAGTTTGTTTCATTGAAGAATTGGAAATAGTAAGAAGTGGATTTCCGTAAGATCTCATCACTTGTGTAAATGCAATAATATAAAAATATAGCTCCATTTTGAGAATAACAATCTTGTTCTGAATTTTAGTAGATCAAAATCAAATTGTGATGTTTTATCTATGATATGAAGTTTTCCTCTTGTCGAAATCAAACTAGAAAAAAAAATGAAATCAATTTCAGTATAAGAACAGCAATAAAGTAAGCAATTTAGAAATCTGAAGTACAAGTTCTTTCTAGCGTGAAAAATTTAATTAATCCATTAAGTTTAGCTCCTTGGTTAAAACTGTTTTATCAAACTATATACCCCTTAGGAAAATTTGCCATAGAGAAGCCTATGGTAATCTATGGCAACCTATGGCTACCATAGAAATTTGTATGGCAAGATACCATACGACTATGGTTACCATAGAGATTTGTATGGCACAACNATAATTAAAAAGAAATTTAGCACTTTATTAACAGTTTAAATTTAAGAATGACACATTACGCACAATCCGTAACATGATATATATTTTTCTTCATATTATCGTATCTCTTCAAAATTTACGCCAATTGCTATTCATGGCAATACCAGTCGCCATGCCGGGTATGTCGAACATGATTGGTTGACCAACGCTTGACGTCGTTTGCAAGTATCCAATTGTCGCTTTGATAAGCATGCCGTTAGCGAAACAATAACTTTAATAAAAAAAGCTAAAATATTCAGCTCAACAAAAAGTAAAAGCCCTTATAATTAAAAGCGTGTTCCGGCACTATTCAGTTCTTATCTTGATGCCTGCTTTGAATCCTATTTTAAAATTATTGCAGAAAATAAAATTTTGCTGCTTAAATAAGGTATTTTGTTAACAGTATCCTTGATTTCTTTTTAAAAAAAATTATTGTCTAATATGAAATTTTTAATGTGATGAGATGATCCATTAGAGTTCACAATCCACATTAGATCTCCATCCACAATCCATTAGAGTATCCACATTAGAGTTCACAATATAATATTTAAGCTAGAAAAAAAACGAATGCAAAAGCGTTAAAAGAAATCTATTGTGTCAGAAGCCTTATTTCAAATAGGAACACATTTCCGTGCCGTACATTTCCGTTCGCACCAAATTTCTTTCCAGTTAAGAGAAATTCAACATTTACAGTAAACGGTTGTTCATTGTTTAACAGTTGATTTTTCGATTTATTCAATTCATAATTTTCCAGTGTCGCCATTAGTTTTTATTTAATAACAATTCGTATATCAATATTTTAAATATTTCTTTCCGAAAATTACACTACATTAAAAAAATACAATCCTAGAGTAAAATATAATTCACGAACTTTATAAATATAGCGAACGTTCCTCCTGAATGCAGTTTGCTCGTTCTACTTTGTTGTTGTTTCTAATGTCACTTGCCACACGGGCAAACCTGCTTGATGAAACCTAGCAAATTTAAGGCAAATTGTGCGTTTCTTGTTTTTTCAGTGGCGCCAACCTGTGGCCAAGAATTCGTCTTCAGTCACACACACGTCACAGCTCGTTTTATAGGGCGGACCCATTCATACATTCATCCACAGATCGTAATTTTGACCTGAATCAGAGAACGATCGATCTCATATCCGGAGGTATTGATTTGTTGTGGGAACATGGAGGACTTAGAGACTCGTCAGATTTAACGTGCATCAGTCACCATTTACTACATGGGGAGTCTTCGGTCGGTGGGTCGTTCTACTTTAGATCCACCAATCGAATTCTGAATTTTTAAACGTATATTTTATATAAATTTTTATTTTGATGAAAAATTCGTAAAAAAGAATATTGTCGGTGCAGCTTTGGAAAATATTTTGCATTAAAATGAAAAGTTTGTTTTCAAAACATTTAAATTCTACTCAAATTGATTTGTTTATAATAGAAAAAAAAAGGAAAGAACAGCTATACTCTTCTCTTTTAGTTGAAAACCGATTAAACTTCTCAGTTTATTTTCGAACGTCAGCGTTAGAACAGTTTAGAGCGGGCTCCAAAAGCTAATACTTGTTAACACGTTGAATGCCACATTAATTTTACATGGCCTACCCGTCTGGCCAAATGGTAAATATGAGACAGAATTTGCTAGTTTATTAAAAGGTTTAGCATGACGTATTTTGTAAAAGTGGCGAATTATATTAGCCTACGCATTGTTTAGAAATAGTTGTCGATAAAAATCTACTAAATAAAATTTATTAAACCAAGAATCACAATTAATAAACTACCACTTGAAAATATTTATTCGCTGTCCGGAGCAAGTTGGCATCTCTGTGTATTCTGTATTTTTGTGTGTTCTATATTGCATTATTTTCTTCAAACCATTTTAGTAACAATAATATAAAAAAAAATTTAAATTTATTCGAATTATGTGTTCCTAATAATCTTGGCTTCGCCGATCACCGGTGAACCCCGTGGCCCGCGTGTTAAGAATATCTGATGAAAATCTGTTTAGAATTAATTTACTTAAAAACCTTTTTAAGAAGTGCCAGATATCACTAAAAGTGTATAGTGTTTTACTTTGCATTGTTTTATATTAATAATTGAAAATAATAAATCCTTAAAGTATGAAGAGTATACTTGATATGCATCAAAATAGTGAATATTCTTAAAAAAATAATGTTGATGTTCACATTCTGAAATCAATGTGAATTTAACTTCCGTATATATTTTACAATTTACGAGATCCTGAAAGTAATCAAAAAACTTCAACATGCGTAATTTTTTCGATACGTTAAATGTAGGTCACCTTCTACACTAAGCAATGCATCTGACAGGTATGGAAACCAGAAATTTTAAAGTCAATGAAACAGACATAACAGTCTTCGTTTTCTTTCTTTGTAATTAATAATTAGAAGAACTGTTAGCAAACAGTATTAAAATCTGTACATCTATCTATTTTTTCATAATGTTAGTAGAAAATATTCATCATTTATCTCTGGGTTTTTAAATTAAAAGCAAAGTGAAAATTTTTTCGACAGCGAACAATATTTCCGGTACAAATTGGAAAAAGAGCACATTTTGCACAATAAATAAAATATAAATTAAAAAGAACAATTCTCACAGTTATTATGGAGCAATTAAAAAAAGTCCTTGTTGAAAAACAATTAGGGTAGAAATACGAAAAAAGAAATATCGGACTACCTTCTAGAGATTCAGGTACGAGTAAACAGACAGCACTTTAAATAGATAGGATATTATTCAATCTAATTATAAATCAAACGAAAACAAATAAAGTTCGATAATCACAACAGCATAAATTAAAACAAAAAAAGAAAACCCTTTTGACAATCTACCCTGACCACATAAAAAATCGCAAATCCGATCATAATTGATGTGCAAATGAAAGAAAAATGTCTAATCGGATTATATAACGATATTAAGTTTAAGATGAATGTTTAAATTAACTGCAAATAGCATTTTTCACAAAAAAAAGAAGAAAAAAAACTATAGGTACCTACTATATTTTCAAGTAGACCGGAAAGCATAAGAAGTTAAATAATCATTATAATATATATAATTTAAAAAAAAAATTAAACAAATGATAAGATGAATTAAAATAATTACGGCATAGTAAAAAATCAATCGGGCATTCGTTTCAGTATAGTATAAAGTTAACAATATTAATAAACAAGCACTTTATAAAGTAAAGGCATGACTGGCATACTTAGCCTATTTTTTAAAAAAGAAAAATGAAAAACATTTAAATTTAAGCAACCATTATGGAATAAATGAAACCAATAAAGAAATAAAGGGAACAACCAATACAGTACAAATAAAACGAATTCAAACGGGTTATCATTTTGGTATAGAGCTTGCAATACTAGTAAACAGAACTTTAATCCAGAATAAGTTTAGTCAGTATACTTATTAATTTTAAGTAGAATGAAAAGTATAAAACGTTGGACAACTCTTAAGCTGTAAATAAAATGGGAGACAATCAATTCGGAACAACTAAAAAAAAAAAATCAAATCGGACAATAGTTACGCTTCAAAATTAAAAATAAATAAAAATAAAATCAAATCGGACATTCGTAACTCAATATAGGAAACTCAATACTAAAGTATTGAGTTTCCTATATTGAGTATACTAAATTGAGTTTCCTATATTGGCCCCAATAGTTACACTTCAAAATTAAAAATAAAGTCAAATCGAACTTTCGTTTTAGTATTGGGTTTATATCACTTAACACTTTTAAAACGTAAAACCTGTCAAACATACTTTAATTTTTACGACACGAAAAGAATATAAAGTGACAACTCTTATGCTGCAAATAAAATGGGAGACAATCAAAACGGAACAACTAAAAAAAATCAAACCGGACAATAGTTACGCTTCAAAATTAAAAATAAAGCCAAATCTCTGACATTCGTTTCAGTATTCAGTTTCCAATACTACCAGTAAACATTTTAAACAGAAAATTAATGTAGACATATATTAATATTTAATTGAACAAAAAACATATAAAGTTAGACAACCATTACAGTATAAATTTTAAAAACTTAATGAGACAATCAGTATACATACCTGCCAACTAGTGATGAAGTTGAAAAAAGATTTTACAAAATGGTAGTAAAACAAAAGTTTAGTATGGAAAATTTTTTCGAAAATCGAAGCCATTTAAATGGCAATAAGCTTAATGAGGTTACAAATAGATCTTATTTAAATATTTTTTAAATTATTGATTCGTCGTGGTAGTTTAATTTTTTTTTTTTTTTGAAACTTCAAACTTCAATGTTTAATACGCCAAAACCCTAATGTTTCTACAACTAAGAAAATTATCTCTCAACGACCGTGCAAGTTGGTAGCTATGAAGACGCATAAGAAAACCAAATCGGACAATAACTACGGTATAATAAAAAAAAAACTAAAGCGGACAAACTGTGAATGATACATGGGTCTAAATATGCAAAAAGTGGTAATCAATAAAAATCAAAGATAGATTAAACAAGGTCAAAATTAGCAGCACTTCATGAGGTATTTCTTACAGTTTATTATTAAGGATAATTCGCAGGAAAATTAAATATATATCACTAGTAATACACGGCGGTACAATGAACAATAAAATAGAAAATAAATAAAAATAAATTACGTTTCTACCACTTTTTACATTTTAGGTGGACGTAACATACCGGCAATTGTTTCAGTTTAAAGTTGACGGTGGGGAGTATAGTCAGGGTTTTTGCGGGCCTTGTAAATTTTAAAAAGTGGTAACGAAAATTAAACAATTGTCGATAATTTAATTTCTGTGCAACCACTACTAAAAATTGTTTTACCAAAGAAATTGTGTATGCAGGAAAATTCCAGTTTCGAAACTTCTTAACTACAAAGTAGTATGTTAACACATTGCTGACCGGTCACGAGTTAACTCGTGTTTTCGTTAGCAGTGATTTCGTGGTGACTATTTTAAAAAGTGGGCGTAATTTTCCTTGCTTTTCAAGTTTTACTATTTAATTCTCTACCAATTTATTATAACTTTACGAAATCCTATATATTTGCAAAACTTTTGGTTATACCATTACACATAAGTAATTGCTAACTTTATATCATCCGGCATTAAAAATTAAAATTTTTTAAAGTTTATTTATATTGTTTTACTACCACATCCGCTTTCAAAACTATAGCCGGCCGGGCACATGGGGGTAATTTTCAGAAAAGTTGCTGGTCAGCAATGAGTTAAGATAAGCAATAGCTTCCAGCATTAACCTTAATTTACTACCACTACTAAAATTTTTCAAGGACCGTGGGAAGTCCGTACTTTAGCCCTTTCTGAAGCAGTGGTAAGTATACCTACCACCAATTTCTGAAGTCCGTGGTGAATTTTTTTACCACTTTTAATATAGGTTGCCATTTGTTAATAACTTCAGCTTTCTTGAAGTGTGTTTGAATAAAATTGGCAACCATTTGTTTGTTTAAGAAAATGTATTAAAGTTATAAAATACATAATTCCGTTTGAAGTTTGTAGCATTTCTAAAATATATTTTATAAGTAACGAAAAGTAAAAGTCTGTAAGCTCCTAATAGGTCGTGGTAAATATACTTTAATTTTTTATGAGCTAAATGAGTTTTTATTTTCTTATATGAATTACTATTCTTATATCAATTTCAATTCCAAAAATACTTTAATTTACCTTTACTAGAAATAAATATTAAAGGGTTAAACAGAAAAAAACGTAACATATATACTTACCCTCATTTTAAATGTAGCAAAAATGATTACGCCACAAATATGGAGTTAAAAGATTGCCACTAAACAATTAACGCATTAGTCATTATACGAACGGATGTTAAACGTTTCAGCAGCTATCAGCATCGAAATTCAGAACAAGATTTAAGGAAGATGGTTACGAAATCCGGAGGATACGCGGGGCATTTCCAACTAAAAAAACCAACTTCATTTATACGCTTAAAATGAAGTTTCGTGAATACTAAAATGTATTTAGTTTATTTATGCCCATTTTGATTGGGGAGTCAATTTGCTGAATGGGTTAGAAGCAGTATATTTTTAACACGTTGAATGCCATGGGGGTCACCGGTTACCGGCGAAGTCAAGGTTATCAGAAACACATAATTCGAGTAAATTTTTAATNGGTACTTTTTTCAATTTATTATTAAGGATAATTCGTAGGGAAATTAAATGTATATCACTAGTAATACACTGTGGTACAATGGACAATAATATAGAAAATAAATAAAAATGAATTAAGTTTCTACCACTTTTTACATTTTTAGGTGGAACGACGTAACATACCGGCAATTGTTTCAGTATAAAGTTTACGGTGGTATTACAGTCAGGGTTTTGCGGGCTTTGTAAATTTTAAAAAGTGATAACAAAAATTAAACAATTGCCGATAATTTAATTTCTGTGTAACAACCACTAAAATTTGTTTTCCAAAATTTTCTACCACTACTAAAATTTTTCAAGGTCAGCGGAGACTCCACTTTAAATAGAAAAAAAAACGTAACATGCACACTTACCCTCATTTTAACTAGAACAAAAATTATACATAGTAACTCCTCCACAAATTATAGAGATAAAAGATTGCTACTAAACAATTAACGCATTAGTCATTATACGAACGGATGTTAAACGTTTCAGCAGCTATCAGCATCGAGATTCAGAACAAGATTTAAGGAAGATAGTTACGAAATCCGGAGGATACTTTAATTATAGCCGGCATTTCCAACTAAAAAAACCAACGTCATTCATACGCTTAAAATGAAGTTTCGTGAATACTAAATGTATTTAGTTTATGCCCATTTTGATTAGGGAGTCAATTTGCTGAATGGGTTAGAAGCAGTATATTTTTAACACGTTGAATGCCATGGGGGTCACCGGTTACCGGCGAAGTCAAGGTTATCAGAAACACATAATTCGAGTAAATTTTTAATATATTTATATTATCGTTACTAAAATAGGTTGAAGAAAATAATACAATATAGAACACTCAAAAATAGTTTTATTTATTTACACAGCGATACCATCTTATACGGACAGTGAATAAATATTTTCAAGTGGTAGTTTATTAATTGTGATTCTTGGTTTAATAAATTCATTTTAGTAGATTTTTATCCACCACTATTTCTAAACAATTCGAAGGGTTATATCATTCACCACTTATATCTAAAATGCAATGCTAAACCTTTTAAAAAACTACTAAAATCTGTCAAATTTGCACACTTAGCTGGTTGTTATGTATAGTTGTGGCTAGACGGGCATTCAACGTGTTAATTATTCTAAACATGGCTTGTTTGTACTCCGAAGAAAAAGAGAAAAAAAGCTGGTAATAAAGCCATTTATATTCTGGCTTATTTTCTTAGGAATAAATGTCCGTGATTGCTAAGACATATTTACAATTATTTACTTGTATAGGAAATAGTTTTGTATTTACATTTTATCACATTGCAAGCGGATCACGTAAAATTACGTTTGTGAAATTTCCGTGATCCATACAAGAGTTCAAAAAGTTATAGCAAAACTACTAGTTATAGCAATTGTTTGACGTAAATTTTTTTAAGAAACTTGAAATCGTAGCCATAGTGATAAGTTTGCTCCAATTTTTATGAAATCTTGTCTACCACTTTTTTAAAATTTTAACCTATAACAGTTGTAATTTATTCTATTTTCTTGAAAAAGTTGTCAGAATGCGATGCGTTTATTTTTTTACTGCAAATTAAACAAAGATATTTTATTCTGCAAAAAAATACACAGTAAAACAAAAAATATTGACAATTTTCAAGTCCGATTTTTAACGGATAACTTGGAACAATCCGAAAAGCGATTACAGAAAGTGATATAAAGAAAAAATAACCCAGATCACCTTGATGCTCAAGGTTTAAATGGGTCTTACAAATTTACAACTGTGCTAGTAAATGTTTGTATAATCTTTAGCAGTATTGTATTTAAGATACCACTTTAATGTTTTGAAAATAGATCTTTTTCTATAGATGTAGTTTCTTTAAGAAAAATAATATGTATCGTGGGTCCCAAGGGTCTTAAAATGTCTAAGTTTATTTCATTTTCGTCATCAGTAATTGAAATTTGTATTGAGAAGTCAATCGCCCTACTAACAGCATTTATGAAACCAACGTTTCTTTTTCTTTCTGAAAAAAAAACAAGCAGTCTGTTTTGGTCAAGCTTTTTCTTATTTATGTTCATAATTTGGTCCAGATGATGATTATTAACTACCTAAAACTATTAAAATAGTGTGAGGCATTAAAAAGTTGCTTTTATTTTCATATTTTGGTCCGTATAATGACTAGAAACTAAGAACAACCATGAAAATAATCTGAGAAATTAAAAAGCTTCTGTTATTTATGTTCCTAATTTGGCCCACATGATGATTAGAAATTAAGAACAACTATGAAAATAATCGGAGAAATTAAAAAGCTTCTGTTATTTATGTTCCTAATTTGGTTCACATGATGACTAGAAACTAAGAATCTGTTATTTATGTTCCTAATTTGGTTCACATGATGACTAGAAACTAAGAACAACTATGAAAATAATCGGAGAAATTAAAAAGTTTCTGTTATTTATGTTCCTAATTTGGTTCACATGATGTTTAGAAATTAAGAACAACTATGAAAATAATCGGGGAAATTAAAAAGCTTCTGTTATTTATGTTCCTAATTTGGTTCACATGCTGTTTGGAAACTAAGAACAACTATGAAAATAATCGGAGAAATTAAAAAGCTTCTGTTATTAATGTTCCGAATTTGATTCACATGATGTTTAGAAACTAAGAACAACTATGAAAATAATTGGAGAAATTAAAAAGCTTCTGTTATTTATGTTCCTAATTTGGTTCACATGATGTTTAGAAACTAAGAACAACTATGAAAATAATTGGGGAAATTAAAAAGCTTCTGTTATTTATGTTCCTAATTTGGTTCACATGATGACTAGAAACTAAGAACAACTATGAAAATAATCGGAGAAATTAAAAAGCTTCCGTTATTTATGTTAATAGTTTGGTTCACATGATGACTAGAAACTAAGAAGAAGTATGAAAATAATCGGGGAAACTAAAACGCTTCTGTTATTTATGTTCATAATTTGGTTAACATGATGCTTAGAAACAGGGGTGAAAGCGAGACGGAAACGAGGAAAGGCTGGTAGTAAAACCTTTCCTGTTATAGATAGTTTTGGGGAGGAGCTTACTTATTCTTTTTATAATTTTTTCAACAATATCTACTTTATCTTGGAAAAGAAGCAGTTTTATATATATGCCAGAATTATAAAAGAAATCTTGATAGTTACAGATATTTCATTTTTTTCGAAAAAAATGCTGGAATGAAATGTTTTACGTACCAGGTTTTTCTCTTTTCCGTCTTGCTATATAAGGGCTTTCACCCATGCTTAGAAACTTAGAACAATTATAAAAATAATCGGGGAAAGTAAAAAGCTTCTGTCATTTATGTTCCTAATTTGGTTCCCATGATGACTAGAAACTAAGAACAACTATGAAAATAATCGGGGAAATTAAAAAGCTTCGGTTATTTATGTTAATAATTTGGTTCATATGATGATTAGAAACTAAGAACAGCTATGAAAATAAGCTGAAAAAATAAAAAGCTTTTGTTATTTAAGTCCATAATTTGATCCATATGATGATTAGAAACTAAGAACAACTATGAAAATAAGGTGATAAATTAATGAACCTTCTTTTATTTATATTTATAATATGTCCCGCGTGACTCAGAACAACTTTGAAAATAGGGTGAAAATTAAAAACAAACTGAAGTCATTGACAAACAATTCAAATATAATAATATATTGTAGTAAAAGCACTCACTTTTCCATGACGTTAAATACTTGACAATATAATTCGAAGCTCATAATCTATGTCTATTTTATTTAGTTGATTTTCTAGATATTTTTCTCGAAGATCGTTCGAAACTAACATCCGCAGGATCAGGATGTCTAAATAACACGAAGCTATGATGAAAAAGAATGATTTATTTATTTACCGTTAAGTGACATGTATGTGTTGAAGGTTATTTAGTTTTTATTTTGAGTAAAATAAAGTTAGTGTAAAAAAATTAAATGACAAAAATGCCAAGTTTAATTCATGTCATTTAGTAATAATTGCCTTATGAATCCGCCCCACAGTTTGAGAACTCCTTGAATACAGTGAGAGTTAAACGTGAAATTTGTTTGGATCTAATGGCTGAAAAACGCTGACGCATTAAAATGCAATTTTAAACCACGAATGTCCAGTCACGAATATTGCATTGATGAAGAACGTTTATGAAAGAAGCACGATCAAAAAGCGGATGGTTTTGTAGGTTTAAACCAGTGGCTATTGGCGGTAGTTTGGGATTCATACTTAATGGTGATCCGAAGACATTACTGGAGCATGCGCACACTAATGAGGTCTCCGCACCGCACTACACTCCGACTCCAAAATTGACGGTGACATTTCGAATGGATTCCTTACCACTAAGATACATGCGTAGGAAATACAATCCGATCAGACATCCAGCCTGTAGCATAAAGAAACGAACCCGATGAAAAACTGAAACAAATTGAGCTATAATTTTGACAGAAAGATTAAAAGCGAACAGTTTATACATAAAACTGACTGAGCTATATATTTTTTAAAATTATGCCTAATTATGCTTCTATAGTTACGAATTCAGCAACCATATCTGCCAGAGTAGCGGTGGATCAGGGAAGAAAGCGTTCGCCTCCCAGTGACTTTATCCAGGTTCAAATCCCTATAGTTGGCTGGTCGATATAAATTCTGCTCTCGGCTCGTGCTGACATAAGATATTATTGGTGATAGACGGATCATGGGGTAGAATCACCCTGCTGTCCGGCTAACCGGGAGAGGTTTTCGTGGTTTTTGCGCCATGTAACGCAAATGCAGGTTAGTTCCATCAAAAATCCTCAACTAAGGCTAGTTTGTTCCTATCCTTGATCCAGGAGTTCCCTTGTCTTATGGTATAGATTCAAAATTGCAAGACAACTAAGTTCATAATTTATTGTTATAAACTCAGAATTGGGTCAGCTGTTCAATTAAAATAAAACCACAACTGTCAACTTATAATCATTTCAAGGCTGATTTTCATAAGTGGTAGTAAAATTAAAACTTCATTACAATCATATGCAGAAATTTATCTTTTAGTTTGCGAGAGCTTAATGCAGTATCGTATATTTTTGGACTTTAAATTGTACTTGCTACTCCTTACCAGCCCTGATGGGCTTTCTCTGATTCAACAGATCTGTCAGAACCGATAGAGATAAGGTCATGGCTGGGCAATAGCAGACTATGCTATATTCTTTATAATTATAGAATCAAGGCAATATAGGAGCACAGTCGGTAGATATACCTCCCTTGAGGCTGTCCGCAGCGTCTGGCGGGTTGCTTCTTAGTTATAGTTTGTCGAAGGTACGAACTCCCTTAGCGATTTGTCTGAACCCGTGGAGCTGATTATGGCAACGAGGTATAACTATTGCAAGTAGGGATGTAGAGTCATTGTTTAGAACAGGTTTTGGCTCAGGCCGGCGAGAAAAAAGGAATTTTTTTCTTCTGTCCATTGTATTAGCCCTTGAGTGAAGAGAAGCTACCCTTCCTGAAATACTCTTTTCTTGTTTCCATTGCAGCAGAAGACCTCAGGACTTTGTGGCGGG